CACACACACACACACACACACACACACACACACACACACACACACACACACACACACACTTTGAGAGTGAAGACTCAGCAGTCAAGACTTACCTTACTCTGACCTGAGTATGGTTCCAGACACCCACTTCGGGCAGCTCACAACAGCTTGTAACTCCAGCTCCAGGGGCTCTGTCGCCCTCTTCTGGTGTCCAAGGGTACCTGCATTCACATTCACAGACACAAACACACTTAACTAAAATAAAAACAAATCTAAAAACATAAAGAAATGATAAATTTTTTTAAAAATTTGAGACAAGGTCTCAATCATGTGCCTCAAACTCTCAGATCTTCCAGTTTCTGCCTTTTAAGCACTGGGATCATAGGCGTGAGTCAATGTGCCTGAATTAGTCATCTTTATGGGAAGGCTGGGGTGTAGCTCAGTTGGTAGGGTACTTGCCTAGCACGTGTGAAGCCCTAGCTTGTATCCCCGTTACCACATAAGCCAGACAAGCCTGCGCACACTCCTCCTCATCCCAGTTCTCTGGAGGTGGAGGCATGAGGGTCAAAGGTTCAAGGCCACCCTCATCTGCATAGTGAGTTCAAGGTCAGCCTGGGCTACAGAAGACCCTGTCTAAAAACAAAGCAACAATAAAACCCCATCCTTGGCGGGAAATTACAGGGCACAGTGGGTGTGCAGGGAGCCTCTCACCTCCCAGGCTAGAGGCAGTGGCTGGGGGAAGCAGAAGACACCCCCTCCTTGTGGGCTGTATTCTTTTGCTTACACACACAGCATCTGCTTCTGTCCTTGGGCCACTGGCAGTCAGACTGTGTCTTTCTCCTGACTACAGATTCTGCCATATGGGGTACAGTGTGGCCTTGGACAAGCCACATGGTTCTCTCCCAGACTCCGTTTCCAGGTTCCTGTAGATGACAGACTGTGAGACGCAGTTTGGAAGGACTGGAGATATTGGAGGTCAGGATTTCATGCTTCGGGGCCGCGGCAGGCGTGAGAGGATGGACGGAAGCCATCTCCTTGTCGCTTACTTCTGGATTATAGTACAGTTAGGCACGGGGGGGGGGGGGGGGCTTTCCCCCCATTGCTTGAGAGCTACTTCCTGCCACACCTGGGGCTGCACACTGGATTTTGACCCCGTACATTTGCTCAGAGCAGGTAAGGTCATCGTCATCCATGTCATGAACGAGGCTCCCGTGAGTGACGTGAAGGTCACAGGGTTGTAAGAATTGGCAGAGCTGAGCTCCTGGGACGGCTCAGTGACTCAAGGTACGGACCGGACCACCAAGCCTGGGGACCTGGTGTTCGGTCCAGGAACCACGGTGGAAGGAGAGAACTGACTCTGGAAAGTTATCCTCTGACCTCTACATGTGCTTTGTGACGTGAGGATGAGCACAAGCGCAGCATGCGCACACACACACACACACACACACACACACACACACACACTCTCTCTCTCTCTCTCTCTCTCTCTCAATGTAATTAAAAAAAAAAAAAGACTGGGTAGTGGTGGTGTACACCTTTAATCCCAGCACTCAGGAGGCAGAGGCAGGTGGATCTCTGTGAGTTCGAGGCCAGATCCAGGATGGCCAGAGCTGTTACACAGGGAAACCCTGTTTCAAAAAACAAAACAAAACAAAAACAAAAAACAAAGAGAAAATTTGGGCCTGAAATCCAGGCAGGACCAACTGCAGATCCTGAGCTGAACTAGTATACAACCCTGTGCCTCAGATCTAAGGAGACGGTGGCTTCCTGATGCTCCAGAAGTTAGAACCTGGGAAGAGGAAGGAGTGTGTGTGTGTGGGGGGGTCACGGTTAAAAGCAGAGCCCCTACCTTGGTTAAATGGTAAGGAGGGGGTGTCCCAGGCAGGGTGTCTCAGAGTAGGAGCCGTGCTGCCGCTGGTGGGGGGGGGGGCTGTGGTTCTGCGGCACTGACTCACAGAGCATCTCAATTCCTTTCCCTGCTACAGGGGAGGCTATTTATAACCTGCAGGTTCCCAAGGCCTCTGGAGTGCAGAGCCCTGCAGCTACCTGGGGCCATTCTCTGGGGCTGCACGAAGGTGTGGACAAGGTCAAAGTTGAGAATTCTCCCTTTCTGCTCCGGGCTCTGTAGTCAGCACAGAAAATGCACTCAACTGCCCAGGGTCACTCTGGGGGTGTCCCGCTCACCTGGGCAGGTGGCATGGATGGATGCATGGATGCATGGATGGGTGGGTGGGTGGGTGGGTGTGTGGGTGGATGGAAATAGCATCTACCTTTTATACTTGGTTAGATTATATCAGTTCTCTAGCCTAGCTTTCTCTGTGGTTTTCCTATCTTCTCTGAAGCCAAAGACTTTGTTTTCTGATTTAGACAAGGTCTCACTGTGTAGCCCAGCCTGGCCTTAAACTCACAGGGATCATACTGCCTCTGCCTCCCCAGTACTGGGGTTAAAGGTGTGTTCTACCATGTCCAGCCATGGAGCCAGAGTCTTTATGGTGCCTACAAGGTGCCTACTTGTTCTCCTGTCCACTGACCTCTCTACCCTCCTACTCATCCTCCTCTCTCTCAGCCTCTCTTTTGCCTGCTTGGAACACATCATGGTCTCAAGCTTTGCTCTATTTCCTCGTTCAAGGACACTCTCCCTTCAGAGACTGGGATGTTTCCCTCCCAATCCTCCTTCAGGTTTTTACTCAGTCAGCAGCTTCTCTATGAGGCCTTCCATGATCCTTCTACATCACTTCTCACCATGCAATGCCTCATTCTCTCAGCCTTTCCACTCACCTTCATCTGTTATCCTACATCCTATATGTGTATGGGTGTGTGTGTGTGTGTGTGTGTGTTTCACCAGCATGCAGTTCCTGCAGTGGCCAGAAGAGGGTATCAGATCCCGGGAGACCAGAATAGCAGGGTTGTGAGTGGCCATGTTGGTGCTGGGGACAGAATAGGATCCTCTGGAAGAGCAGTCAGTATTCTTAACCACAGAGCTATCACTCCAGCCCCTAATTTATCATCTTTAAAAAAATTTTACATATATGTATACGTATGAAGTGTATGTACATGTTTGTCCATGTGTGTGCATATCTGTGTCTGTGTGCATGTGTGTGCATGCATGTGTGCACACACTGATGCATGCTCTCTTGGAGGTCAACATCTGCTGTCTTCCTTCATAGCACTCCACTTTATTTTTTGTTTTATTTATTTATTTATCTTTATTATTATTATTATTATTATTGGTTTTCTGAGACAGGGTTTCTCTGTGTAGCTTTCCTGGATCTCACTCTGTAGACCAGGCTGGCCTTGAACTCACAGAGATCCACCTGGCTCTGCCTCCCGAATAGTGGGATTAAAGGCGTGTGCCACCACCGCCCGGCTGTTTTATTTATTTTTTGAGACAAGGGTTCTCACTGTACTGGGACCTCACTATTCGGCTAGGCTGTGTGGCCATTGAATTCTAGGAATCCTCCTGCCATTATCCACACAGACACGAACATAAACACACAAATATGGAGCTTCTATTGAGAAAATGCCTCCATAAGATCAGGCCGTAGGCAAGCACCCCTCCATGGCCTCTGCATCAGCTCCTGCCTCCAGGTTCCTGCCCTGAGTGAGTTCCTGGCCTGACTTCCTCCAATGATGAACTGTGATGTGGAAGTGTAAGCCAAATAAACCCTTTCCTCCCCAAGGTGCTTTGGTCATGGTGTTTCATCACAGGATAGGAACCCTGACTGGGACAAAACTCAGTACCAGCATAGTGAGGTGTTGCTGTGACAGACCTGACCATGTGTGTTTAGGAGGACTGTGGAAGGACTTTGGAAATTGGGGTGTTCAAAGCTTTGGTGAGCCTTTCTGTGGAAGCTTGCACACGAAGAGTATTGAGAGAGATGCAGACAATAGAGGCCTGGCTGCTGAAGTTCCAGAGGGAAGTTTGAAAGCCACGTAAAGATCATCGGGGCGGTTGAATCAAGGGTCAGTGGTTCTGGTCAGCTGGGGCTGAAGAATCAGCCGGAATAACAAGAGCCTGGCACCACCAAAATAAAACGTTTGATTTACCAGGACAACTGATGCTGGTCAGCTGGGGCTGCGAAATTAGCGGTGATTAAGAGACCAGCATCCCTGAGGATGGGTTCTGGGAAGAGTTCCCTCGGGGTCAACACACAGAAGCTGTGTTCCAGAGCCAGCCAAGGTTGCACCTCGTGCTGGCAGCTGAACTTGGTAGTCTAAAGGTCACCAGGTGGTATTAGTTTTGAAGGCCTGAAGGGGTCATGGAGAGCAGCTGAGGCTTGACTCTGTGAGAGGCCAGGGAGGCCATTGTTAAAAGTGCAGCTTCAGGGGCAGTTGAAGGCCCAGGACTGAAAGGGGTCATGAAGAGAAGTTGAGGCTTGGCACCATGAAGGGAGCCCAGGAGAGGCTACTGGTCAAAGTGTGGTCCAGTTGCTGCAGAGACCCCAGCAGTTTTGGAGATGCCAGTACCGTGGGATGACCACCATGAACAGCAGCAGTGGTGGCATGGGGGAGGGCCCAGCCCACTGTGGGTGGAGCCATCCCTGGGCTGGAGGTCCTGGGTTCTATAAGAAAGCAGGCTGGGCAAGCCATGGGGAACAAGCCAGTAAGCAGCACCCCTCCATGGCCTCTGCATCAGCTCCTGCCTCCAGGTTCCTGGCCTGACTTCCTTTAATGATGGGCTACCGTGTGGAAGTGTACACAAATAAACCCTTTTCAGAGAAGCTGAGGCTTCAAACCATAAAGAGAGCCTATGAGAGGCTATTGATGAAAGTGCAGCCCAGTTGCGGCAGAGACCCCAGCATTTTGGAGATGCCAGTACCATGGGATGGCCACAAAGAACAGAAGCAGCAGCTGAGTGGAGCTAGCCGGAGCCTAGAAGACAAGCTGTGTGTGCTGCAGAGGGCGGAGCCGGAGAAGTAACCCAGGTCCTTGGGAGGGGCCCAGATGATAGTGAGCAGATCCCAGACATTGTTGGACATTGACTTATTTACACAGAGTTTGGTTTTGCTTTGAGTTAATGTGACTGTGTCCTGGTTCTTCCCTCCTGAAATAAAATATTTAACTTATTTTTTAGTTTAAAGGAGCCCACAGTTGAGAGGCTTTTGGATTTTTTTTTTTATTTATTTTAACTTTATTTTATATGCGTTGGTGTGAAGGTGTCAGATCCTGGAAATCTGAACTTACAGACAGTTGTGAGCTGCCATGTGGGTGCTGGAAATTGAACCCGGGTTCTCTGGAAGAGCAGCCAGTGCTCTTAACCATTGAGCCATCTCTCCAGCCCTGCTTTTTGGATTTTAAAAGAGATTTTTGTGTTTTGTTTTGTTTTGTTTTTTAAACATAACTGGTCTTGCCTGGTGGTTGTGGCAGAGGCAGGTGGGTCTCTGTGAGTTTAAGGCCAGCCTGGTCCACAGAGTGAGTACCAGGACAGCCAGGGCTACACAGAGAAACCCTGTCTCAAAAAACCAAACCAAACCAAAACAACAACGACAAAACCAAACTGATCTTTTGATGTGTTAGAATTTGCAAAGACTTTGGTATTTCCAAAGTTATTTATGTTTAATGTGAGATCTTGGGGGATGAACTAGGAAGGAAGGGTTGTGGCCTCACAGTGATGTGTTTGTGTGTGTGTGTGTGTGTGTGTGTGTGTGTGTGTGTGTGTGTGTGTGTGTGTGTCATGC